AGTACTGTGAGAAAAGACATTTCTCTTTTAAATCCCCTACTTTAAGTCTCTTTTAAAATCCCCTACTTGCTGCGGCCCATAGAGTCAGCAGTTTTGCACCGCCAACCACTGCATGGAAGAAAGAGCAACCAGTCTTCTCCAGTAAAGATGGATAGCTTTGTAAACTCAGAGGGCCAGTTCGACTCTGTCTGACCACGGTGCCATGAGGCTGAATTAACCCAATAGACATGGGTTTGGCTTTTGGTTTTGAGGACACTTTGACAGCAGCATTCACCCCTACCTCCCCTTACCTATTTGGCAAACTTTGGCTATTTAAATAACTGGGACATGTGTGGGTTGCGTAACGTGCAATTCAATTTAGAGTACAAGCAATAAAGTACAAAATAGAAACTATGAAAATCTCCCCATAAAGAACTAGCATTCAGCAATTTGGGGTATAAGATATAAGATAATTTTGAATAGTGAGAAGGTTGAATATAAAATATATCATAAGAATAATGCTCTAGTTCATGAGAAGCAGTAAAGCACAGCAGTTAAAAATGTAGACTCCAGAGCCAGCCATCCAAGCCTATCACCTGATAGCTTTCTGACCTGGAACAGAGGCTTGAAACGTGCTCTCTCATGCCTCAACTGATACTGTCCATAGTTACCTTATTGCATGATACTAGGCGTAGGTCAACTGTCAGAGGTATATGGATTCATGATATGCTCACCCCTGACATTATTCTCCGGATATATTTTGCTGTTCCTGTCTTCCCAAAGTGAACATTGAAACAAAACAAATCTTGCCATTCGGTGGCCACAGTCACACTGGCTTCTTGAATGGAAACATGTACATGTGACACGTCTTATGTCCTAGGTTTGAATAGAAATTGTTTACATCTAAATCTTCTTCGACACAAAGATAGGGATCATTTCAAAATGACTGTCTGCAGTGAAGTATGAACAATAAATTTCTAGAATTTCACTTTGGTGTATTAATCATCTGTTATCACTGCAAAAAGTTTAGGAAAGAGCTCACTTTTTTTCCTGAGAAATTACAATATTCTGAAAGTTATGAACAGTATATATTATAAAAGTTACATATTCACTGCCTTTTTATAGCTTTAATATGAGTCTGGAGAAATAAAGACATATCAAATTATTTAAGATAATTGCATTTGTCCTTTGATAAACATAACTATACTTCTGCTCATCGACCTTAAATAATGGATCTCAGATGGCATTAAATGTCTGGATAAGCCAGAAGCCAGGAATTTGAACTACTCAAACTGAATCATCTCCTGGGAAATCAATTTGGTTTTACTTAGTGTTCTTTTGGCAATATGGATCTAACAGGGACCGGCACCATGTTAAAGAGCTGCTTTTAATTTTATATATAGGTAAGCAGCTGAAACATAGAAAGAATCTGTCTTTGAAAGTTCTGTGTAGACAACTAGAATATGAAGTACCAATTGATTGACATTATTCTGTAATATACTGAGCCTTCAAGTCCAAGGATAATGATGCCTATGGAAACATTTTATTATTCTGAATATTATTCTCATTCACTTTCATCAAAATATAGTATAGACTACCTAAGTCCCATTAAATATTTGCTTCTCTTATTTGCTTTTCTACTTGGCTGGTTGGGATGAATTTAAGAAGGCCTTTTTTTTTTAATCTGAAAAAATTAAAGAAAAAGCATAATTGGGTTTCCCCTTGGTCTCTTCAAGTAGTACAAGGTTCCTTGATCTTAGTATCATAAAAAATTCTTCATGTGCTTTATTTAGAAAATAATATTCATAGACCTATGAATGTTGAGTCCTATTCTTGATTTTTAGCAACTGCCTTCCAGTTTATCTTCTTATTCTACTTTTAACTAAGACACTATCAGCTCTCTTGTGGACTCAAATTCTCTTCTCAGTGAAGTCCCTTCCACTTTTGACCTCTCCCCTGCTTGCCCAACCCTTCTTCATAGGGTTGCCAGGATAAGCTTCTATATTTTCAAATTGCTCCCCAACTTTACACTTTCCAATCTGTTTCAGCGGGTTTTAGAATAAAATCTAGCTTCCTTACCATCCCTAGAAGGCCCTCCATGTTCTGGCCCCTTTTTAGATGTTGAATATGATCCCTTCTCTCACTTTGCTCTAACGACACTGGATTTTAAATACTGCCTACTTGCTATTGCAAAATGTGTTGAAGAAATTAGATAGGGCCTGACTATCAGAAAAAATAGCATCTGGAGTCTTAAAGGCTTGTCTTCAAACAAGTAGCCATCTAAGCAAGATTGTCAACTAAGTTCAAATGGAAGAAGCACACCATCATCAGTCAATGATGGACTGTAAATCATATAATCATAAATAAAAGGAGGGCATGTTAGTCTGGGTAGATTAGTGAAACAAATTCATGGACACTCTCATATGTATTGCAAAGAGCTTTATATATAAGAGCTGTTGAATATTGAGAAAACATCCCAGCGCAGTCCAGATCAAGGCCATAAATCCGATATTAGCCCATATATCCAATACTAATCTATACATTTCTCTTCAGACTCATGAAACACAGGCCAGGACGCCAAATGCAGGAAGATCACAAGCCAGTGGGTGCAAAGTTTTGTGGATCCAGTGGCAGTAGAAGCATCTCAGTGCCGGCAAGGGTCTCCATGTGCCTCCTCCAGTTCCCAGGACACAGGGTCTATCAGCGTAGTGCCATGTGTCTTGTCAGAAGAGCATCTCTCAGGGAGTGAGCCAAGAGAGAGAAATGTTTCCCGCCCCCAAGGAGGAAAATATAGCAATTCCCAGAATCCTCCAGGGAAGGCCATGCCCACACAGAGGCCTCATTGGCCATGACCCGATTGACAGATTAGACATCACCCCTTCACTCTTAATCCTCTCAAGTCCCAAACTGACACCAGATTATATAAATACCACAGAGGGGTTAGTGTTAGAGCCTAAATTGAGAGAATCCTGTTTGCAGAAGGCTATGGATGACAGTGGGAGCCCAACATTCATTTGTGGGAACTCCATAAGAAACAAGCCTCCAGAGAACTTCCTCTACCCACAATTGAGGGCTAGGAAGAGATCGCATTGGAGAGATGAGTATATAAGATCAAAGGCATAAATCTGACTTGGATAGCTAAAACTTTCTCACTTGATAC